AAAGATCACAATCAATATGTTATATGGATTTTAATGTAATAATTAGTTAATAGAATTACTGTGTACACACATTCACGCGAATGTATATATATATATATATATACATATATGTATATATATACAGGATGTCTCAATTTAACTTTCACATCGACATATTTTAAAAAATATTAAAAAAATATTTTCTAAGAATGTGCAATTGCTTCGAGCGCGCGAGGCCTATTGGAATCATGTTATTCTTTTTTAAATAGAGATACGATGAGAGATGCAATGAAAAAGATATAATGTTTATCCACGCTTTTTAAAATGGAAATATATGATTTTTTATGTAATATGATTTCTCTATAATCATTCTGCATGTAAAAGTATTAAGTTAGATATATAAAGAACCAATAATTTATGAGATATTATAGACACATTTCTCTGGCACATATAATTGACATGACACATTAAATATCTCGGAAAGCACTAATTTTTTGATAATCGTAATATCCTAATACTTTTATGAATAGAATAATGAGATAAATCAGGTGTAAAGATAACATATACTTGTTCGTTTGACAGAATCATTCATTGTGCCTAAGTATTTTTTTGGTATAACATTAAAAAATTAGCGACTTTTTTCACCAATTTCAATAATCTTGACATATATTTTCAAATAAAATTGATGATATTAACACTTCATTTTTTTCAAAGTGGAGTAAAACAGATAAATTTTCTGTTTTAAAACACACAAATTCTCTCCTTTGATACAGCTATTCTTTGCTTTACGGTACAAATTCTCTACCTTAAAGACACAAATATTCTGCTTTCAAACAAAATTACTTTAAGAAAAAAGTAGCTAAGTTAGAATATGATAAAGCAGGGGAAAAGTGAATCTTTTAAGAAGAAAGTGTATTTTAAACTCGGAAAAAAATGTATTCCTGAAAATAAATTCACACAAAAATGAATTTACACAACTTTCAGATGTATATATTTTATTTGACATGAAAATATTAAACATACTTCCAAATTTAATTTTCTTTGCAGGGACTGTGCGTCTAATACATCCTTAAATTGTACGGTAACATCTTTTAGATGCCTCGATCTTCTCCTTAAGGGGGTACTCTACTCTAAAACACGCTTTTTTCGGGATTTTTTTACAAGAAACTAGTGAAAATTGTTAATATCAGCTTTTTATGTATATATTTTATTATGTTTAGAGAACATAAAAAATATTTTTTAAAGCTAAATTAATGAATATAAATATTAATTAAACCCTATCGAATACATGGTAAAAAAAAA